TTTTTTTAAAATACTTTTAAAATATAAAAACAAAGAGTAATTCATAGCAGGACTCCAATTATAGGATCCACCATCTCTCCCTTTTTAATTATCCGTACATCAAAACCATAGGGGATGCCCACCGTGCACATTACCTTAGCTTTATATTCATGTGCATTCTGAATTGGAATAGTGAAGATACGGTTTCACTTCTCATGACATAAGAAATTTGATATGTGTACCCTTTGTGAATTATTGGGCAGTGGAGTCTATTTATTATTTCTGAACAGTAAAAATATAAAAAATACCTTGTGGCGATAAATTTAGGCTATTTGTAATTTAATATTTAATAAATATTAAAAATAATTGATAATGCATACGCTACATATGTTAGAACGTGAAGGTTAGTTGTAGTTTCAGGCAATATATATTGTATCGCTTGGCAACCTTTTAAGGTAGCGTTCAAATCTTTTTGACAGTCTTTTAGTTTTTAATCGGAAACGTATAGAAAATAGTTGTGATTTTTCTAAAAAAAAATTTTATTGAATTATTTCGATATTATAACATAAACCACAATATTTACGAGTTAATATAAGTTAGTATGCTTTTTATTATCTAGGTTATATGTTTATTACATTATATTGGGTTAATTTAAGTTAAATATTCTTTTTTTTTATTTAATTTCATCATTCCAAAGGTTTTTTTAAGTTATTTTGATTATGTTTTAAAAAAAACTTTATTTATTTATTATTACTGTTCATTTTTTATAAATTAATTAAAATAAAATTAGCTCATTGGCCAGACAATAACCCAAAAATTTGTTTTTTATTTTATTTTTTAAAATATATTTACAGCATTTAAATATTATATTTTGTTAAAAAGAAATATGAATCCACAGCGCATGCGCAAGTCTAAGTCATCAGCTAAAGTTTGAGAGAGCTGTCCATTTTGCCAACCACAGCTTTCTGTAGTTAAAGAAAGTAGTTACTTTTAGCAAATATTTGATTAAATCTCCATCTCATGGAACTTGCCCACTTGTACAATTGATTAAAACCCTCCATCCGATTTCCTTGTCTCTTTTACATTCTCCGATACAAAGATGCAAAATATTGATCACAGTTAAAACTGAAGGGAATCTCAATTTAGTCTGTATCGTCCTTTCTTGGTTTGAAGAGCAAGATCATCAGCTAAAGTTGATGGATATCATTTCACATCAATCAATAACAAATCGCTTTCTTGGATGATTAAGACAAACACCAAATATTATAATTTTTAGAAGTGGCTCCATCACCTACCGGGGAACTGCATATTTCAAGCTCCCAGTTTATTATATGACACTACTGTCCATTGAATTTGTACCAAATGTGTCAAATTAAACTGGGAGCATGAAATATGCAGTTCCCCGGTAGGTGATGGAGCTGCTTCTTTTAAATTAGAAACACTCAAATATAGTATTAGATGTTTGTCTTAATGCATTATAATAGGACATGCTAAAACATTAAAATATTAATGCGGTGTGACCAATTGATTAAATTACCCAAAGCAGGGAGATGCTTCTGTGATTGGCTAGTGACACATTATAGCTTAGTTTAATGTATCTTCAGAATTTAATACGGTCTGTAATTGGCTAGTGACACATTTATCTTAGTTTAATGTATCTTCAGAATCTAATACGGTCATGGGTTTAACAGCTACCTTCCTTTTTTATTATCCATGAATCCAGAAGAATCTACAAGGAAGAAGGACCCTAGTTTTGAAAACCTCGCAGTTAATTTATTTACAGTGAATTGTTTTTTTTTTTGGCTAAGTTTGACTCCCGGTCGAGGCACCTCCAATCCACGCTCGGAGATATATTATCAATAGAGGGATAAAGGGATTCACAAGATTTACATTTCGAGTTTCTAAATGTTCAAAGCTAATAAGCATTAAGCATAGTACTTAGTCAATCATCAGAGTAGCCTATTATGTTATTTTAGCTGATAAATTGACAAAAGAGTTACGGCCTGCCCTTTGCAGTGTTTCTAGATGAAAGGATGCTACTTTTCCTTAATTGCTGCAATTTTCTATCCATGTCTAATTAGTTAATAATTAACTCTTCTTGTTTCCCTTCCCAATCACTGTAAACTGTAAGGAACAAAACAAATCATAGAGACAAGCTCCCTTTTCTCATCATCAAGTTGGTTATGGAATTGACAAATGGGCAGACGACAGTGAAATGATAGCGGGGAAGGTTTTTCTTTCAAAGCAAGAATCTATTAGTAACCTTGTAGCGTATAATTAATTCTACTACATGCAGGGTTGATTTAGTATGTCATGGATTTTTATGCTGATCTCATTATTGGGTCAAAATTAACTTAATAAACAGGTGAATCACTGTTGCTGATACCAGGGGATCGTGTGACTTTCTGCCAAGTTAACACCCTTCTTTCTGGCACTTAATTATAACATGAATTTGATATTCAAAATTCTTTTTAAATGAACGAAATTGAGCAAATGGATGGTTACAATTTCCATTTCAGAAACCAAATTATTCTAGTACATACATCACCTCGTAACCTGTATTGGTTTTTACTGCTACTATAGCAGAGAAGCCCAAGATCCCAAGAAATCATTATCTATTTTACACATCTATCTGTACAAAACAAGAAACACGCCAGCCAGTACCGTCATGCCAGGCAAATTTAAAAACATAATTACTCTACAACATGATTCGAGCAATCTGATTATATCTTTTCTCTTCTTGTTGCCCTGATTTGATTTCTTCTGCACATCTCAACGTCCTCTCTATATGATATCCACCTCCAATACCAACTTCTCTTTCTAAGTGACAGCAATAACTCTCAAAAACACTAACATTCACATGCAATTTGAAACCCATCAAGAAAACGAATTCAAGCTCCAAGTTGTTCAATTCATTGGTTGTCAATCCCCCAACTCTTGCAAAATAAGAATTCCTGTAATTCCTGTTCAAGAATATAATTGCTTGCATAAGAACACTTAATCTAAAAAAGCCTCGATATTTGGACAGTTATTCACACGTAAGGTTTCAGAAAAGAAAGAAAGAAAGAAAGAAAGAAAAAGATGGAGAGCTCACATGTCTTCAACGTATTTAGAAGCCACCATGATAGTCGTAACAAGAAGCCTATGTACGTTTCTTGAGTTGATTCTAAACCCTGGATTAGCCTGGCAAAACCGATCAATGTAAACATAGGCAACGACATAAACCGAAGGTCCTGCGCGAGTGTATCGAAAAATTCTCTCAAGATATGATTGAATTGTCAAGTCCGGTGTCTCATGGCAATCAAAGACTCGAGTTCTGATATCCTTAGATAAAGCCCATTTACAGTTCTTGACAATTCTTTCATTCCTTGCCATGGTTCTCTCAATAAGAGAAGCAAGAACAGAAATGACTAGTGGGGTGTTTGAGTCATTTTGGTAGGAATAGGAGTATAGATCAGATCGGAGCTTTCTTGGAGAAATTGCGAGAGAAGATGTAGCCATTAGAGAGACTCTAGTTTTTATAAGGCAAAGAAATATAAAGAAGGAAGTTCTAACTTCTTGTTGTGGAAAATGAAGTGTCTTGAAAAGGATTTTATACCCGAAAGATTTAGAGTACTGTAGGCTCGGTGGAGAGGGAGAGGGATAAAAGGTTTTGGCCTTGTGGGGGTATTTATTAGGACTTGGAAATTGTGAGTTTTTAGAAGGTTTAATAAAGGGAATTTAGTAGTTGCGCTCACCAAAGCCAGATAAGTGAAATCACATTCATCTTTCTTGTTTTTTATGGGAGAAGAGAGAGACTTGGTACAGACCGGAGATGCTTTGGGTACGACAATCAATAATTTCAAGGGCTAGGCAGGTTTGCGTTTTTTCTTTTTACATTTTCTTTTAATAACAGGTGGGAGACGCAACACAAGTCAATTATTTTTTATTTAATTTTATTTTTATTAAAATATCAAATTATTATTTAGCTCCTTTCATTATAGAAAAAAATTAATGTAAAATAATGGAAGTATCCCAACATCAATATATTCTGATTACTTCACTATGCACTTGAACTATCTAGCTGATTTTTATTGGGGATGACACCACCGTCGTTATTTTATATTGTTCCGATAACCATGCTCTTGAGTATGGGTCAGCGGTGTTTTTTAAAGGTACCTTAGCTACTGTTAATTGGAAGACTGTATGAAATTGATGCGTGAAATGACTTGATTTTGGCTTACGCTTTACACGTAGGCCTAAACAAGCCAAGAAAGTACGACAGTGAATAAAATAAAGAGAAATGACATGGACTGGGAAGGTGCATGGGAAGGAAGGATGGTATCATGATCATATACTATAAGATTTGACTGCCTCCACTTTGTAAAGCCAGAGTACAGACAAACAGCTATCAATGAATATTATTAATATTATTATACAGATTTCTCCATCAGTCGAGCTCGCCGACAGTGGGCTTGGAATAGCGAGGGAAATGGCATGGGAGTGAGAAGACGCATCTGCTTGGAGTGGTAGGTCTTCTCAGGACCCACAGCAGTGGAAGGCAATTAAAGATGGACTTTGCACTGCATGGAGATTTGTGCACGTAATTTCCAATGGGTCCTTTAATAACCACACGTGCATTGGCTTCACTCATCGAAATCATCAGATCTCGGTTTTGTAACTTGCAGCACCTGCCGTATCTTCCAGTTTGTCCATCTAGTCCAATGACGGCGAGGTACCATCGGTCGTCCAGTTTCTCAATTTCAGTCCTTTATGTTTCAGTCGGAGAAATGGAATGGAGCGGCGGGCGCATTCCTGTTAGGTGATCCCACCTTCATGCCATTGGTTGGTCTTAAACGCAACGAAAGATCTGGTCATTCATTAAGTGAAGGAGAGATCTGAAAATTAACATACAGATTTAGTCTTCTGTGAGACTTTTTAATATAGATAATGTTATAACAAGTTATCTTGGACTAGGCATGATTTTAGTTTTGGCTTGAATGGTCTGTTTTTAGCTACATGGGTTTAGTTTTTGCGCGGAAAGTTCATGCCCCC